GAGAGAGAGAGAGAGAGAGAGAGAGAGAGAGACTGACTGACTGACTGACTGACTCTCTCATAGACCAGTTCTCCTCCCAACACCAATCCCATAAAATTCAGTGGACCCCAGGAGTGGCTCTTGGGTGACTGGTATTCATGGACTGCACTTTGGCCCAAAGTGTTAACTTCGCTAGTGACACAGAAAACCAAGAAAGCAGACGGCAATTTCCCCTACACTTTGTGTTGAAAAGAACTGAGCTGTTCACAGGCTCCATCCCATTTCTGACTCTACTCACTCCTGTTCAAAGGTTACTTTAAACTCTAGGAACTGACCTATTAGTTAAGGTTCCTGACACGGTCAGATGCTCCTCTTCCAAGATGTCTAAAGAACTTATTCTTATTCCTTGCCCCTTAGGTAACTTATAAGTTTGGATTTTAATTTGTACATTAGATCAGATCTGTTATTTACAGTGGGTGAAATCCCGGCCCCTTTCAAGTCAATAGCTAAACTCCCTTCGATTTCAAGGGCACCAGGATTTTACCCATTACGTTTATGAAAATATACAAGACAAAGAGTTAACAAAATGTCCAGACCCTCAAAGGGTAAAATACGGTTCAGCCAGCTTTGCACTCACCCCAGGTTTCTATTAGTGGGGTTAGTTTGTTTTGCTAGCGTCAACTGGTTTTACTTTCACCTTGACACAAGACCTTGAGCTGTCCTAAGGCCACCAAACTTGCCCTATTACTTTAGGCATTTCTCTAAGACTATCTACTGCTTACATGGCTCACTTGATTCTGAATGTCAAGCTTGGACCTTAAATAGCAGAGACGTTGGGTTTGATGTTCTTGTTATAAAGTGGAAAGAAAAAGCAACAATATTTGGTCATCTGAGGATAGCTACTAACCCACCAGGAGAAAGAGACTTACGTGCTCCTCTCAGTGCCTCCAGCATCAGGTCCACCAGCTGCTCATAGACATTCTGGTTGACATAGATCTCTGAGGTGAGAAGAACAGTGCGAGTGTTCGACACAGTCAGATTCCTGCAGCGAACTGCAAAGGGCAGCAGGTTCTCTGGCACTTTGGTTATCTGCATGGAAAGAGGAATTGAGACAGAAGGAATGATGTCCCCTGAAGTGTACCGGTATATGTAGATAGTCTGCCCACTTGCTCATTTCAGGTCAGTAATCAGACCACATATGAGGCTACTTCCCCTTCCCAAGGCTGCCTACCTACCTCTTCCTTTGATCTCTGGTAACAGGCATATAAGTAGCGAAGAATCTGTTTCTCTCCTGCGTCTCTATCTGCTGAAAGATTCTGTGTGCTGACAGAGGTCATGTAAATCAGGTGATTTCCTGGTTCCTGGAGCAACAAGCGGGTGAAGAGTGCCTAGACACACAATTAAAAATATACTGAAAATAAACACACAATCCCAAGTGTCTAAAGTCACAACCCTCCTCGTTCCCTCCACAAAAAACACCCCACACCGAATCATCCTAACACGGCTCCTTTTTGCCCATTAGGCTTTCCTTCCCTACTGAGAAATGTAGAGAGTTCAGTGCTAGACCAGTGGTTCTCAGACTTTTCCCAGACTTTTCCCAGTCTGCTAGGCCAACAGCTTCTCCAGCCACCTTCAAAATTTGCAGCAGTTTTACTAATAGGGGTCTGTAACCCTTGCCTTTGAAAAAAAACCTGACAAGCATTAGCATGACAGTCCTGTTAGAGGAGCGGGTCTCTTTACAATGTTTTGATGAGGTGGATGGTGGCGGAACTGAGTACTGGAACACCAACTCCCACTGTTATAAGCAAAGGCATTCTTACCTTCCAGAAGGCGGACACAGCAAATTAAACTGGAGGAGTGGGAGAGGCCTTGGGATTTTAACCATTCTGTCACCAGACTCCTAATCTGTATCTTCCCATTCAGTCTCCCACATTGGCAGCAGATCTCTGCAGCCACTAGGAGGAGCTAGTATTAGCTAACCCTATAAGCACTCCAAAGCTCACAGCCACTAAGCCTGTAGTCACTTCCAGCCCAGTTGTCACAGGCAGCAGACATTTGACCATTCGTGAACAAGTCTGCACTTGAGGGTAAACTCTAATATGCTGTGCAGGGAAGGAGCAGAGTTCAAGTTATTGTTAGTAGCTGAGAGCCAGATTTTTTGTGCACTGTAAGAACTAAACCATCCCCATCAGTAAATCTCAATTTCAGCTAACAAAAGCCGTGAACAGAAATTAATGACACCTTCTCAATTTGGTGAGGAATAACCACCTATACCTAACCCACAGTGCCTTCCCAGTGCCCAGAATGCAGCCGTTTGGCTCTCCACAGCCGCTGCTTCCCAAAGCAAATTACCAAAAGAAGGTCTATTGTTAGCTTAGTCTAAAAACAACAAAAAAAGAGCTGAGCACACTGGTTTCTCAGTAACATGTGCACGAGTTAAGCTGTCCTCCCATATCATTAATGTTTTATGCAGACCTGATCTTTAAATAGGAGTCATTAAATACCCATTTGGGACTGGACTTTTGAGGAGATACTCTGCAATCAGGTACCTGCTTATTAATCACTGCACCTTCTTTAGCTCAGGACTGCCAGACACCAACCTGAAAGAGACAAGTTGACAGAGAAGTGGTGATACCTGTTCAATGTTTTCCATGTCAAGCCAGTCTTGTTCATCCAGTTCTGCAGCCATTTCCTCTAGGTACACACAGCGAGCAGGAATTCCATTGCCGCTCTTCATACTGGGATCACCTGGGGATAATCAAATCCACTTAAACCACCACAAATACGTGCCTACCGACAGTGCGTTCAGCACATTGGACCTTGCCTGCTAGAGGGAGCGAACTGCTGTAAACAACTACCAAATATCACCATCCTCCTGCCACAAGGTTTCCTATGGAATTCTGTTGAACCTTTAGTTAAAAGCTCTCTCTTCTGAGCAAGTGGTTTTTGTATGATTGCTTAAAAACAGGTTTCACTCTAGAACATGATATACCAGTTATCTTTTAAAAGGTACACAAATGACAATACAACATCCACTGCACAACACACAGGTACACACCAGAATCCTGTTTAAGAATCAGTTTGGGAAAAATCCATTTTAATTGTAATATCCCAATGTTCACTAAAGCCAGCCCCATAAGAGAGTGAACTTCCCAATTTACACATACATACAGAAGCTCACTTTGCAAGAACAAAGTGTGCTCTAGTAGGTATTTTAATACCAGGCCAGTCAATCAACGTATAATTGGTTTCCACTGGGATTATCACATTCTTCACCCATAGCCAAATGACACCAAGAAAGGTGCAAAATTCTTTCCTGCCTTTGAGAACAACTTTAGCAGAGGAACAGCCATTTTAGACTTGATTCTGACCAACAGGGAGAAATTGCCTGCAAATGTGAAGGTGGAAGATCATTTGGGTGAAAGTGATCATGAAATGACAGATGTCATGATTCTAAGGAAAGGAAGAAGTGAGAGAAGCAGAATAAGGACTTCAAAAAAGCAATCTCTAACAAACTCGGAGAACTGGTAGATTCCTATTGGAAGAAAATCTAAGGGATAAAGGAGTTTAGGAGAGTTTGCAGTTTCTTAAGGAGACAATATTAAAAGCACAATTCCAACTATTCCAATGCGAAGGAAAGATAGGACAGAATATGGCTCCATCCGGAGCTCTTTAATGGGCTGAAAATCAAAAAAGAATCCTACACAAAATGGAAACATGGACAAATTGCTAAGGAGGCATACAAAAGACTAGGACAAGCACATAGAGACAAAAATCAGAAAGGCTAAGGCACAAAATGAGTTGTACCTAGCAAGGGACATAAAAGGCAATAAGAAGTTATTTAAATACATAAGGAGCAAGAGAGAGATGAGAGGAAACTGTAGGTCCTCATCTTAATGGGGAAGGAGAGCTAATAATTGATGACATCAAGAAGGCTGAGGTGTTGAATGCCTATTTTGCTTCAGACTTCACTGAAAAGGTTAATGGTGATCAGTTGCTCAACGCAATGTTAACAACCCAGGGAAAGATAAGTTAGATGTACTCAAGTCAGCAGGTCCTGATGAAATTCCTCCTAGGGTTCTTAGGGAATTAGCTGAAGCAATCTTGGCACCATTATGTTATCTTCAAGAACTCGTGGAGGACAGGTGATGATGTCCCAGAGGACTGGAGAAGGGCAAACGTACCTATTTTTAAAAAGGGGAACTATAGACCAGTCAGCCTAACCTTTGACACCTGGAAATATACTGGATCAAATTATTAGTGTCATCCTCGAGGTGCTTACAGTTATAAGGAATACCCAGCATGGATGTCAAAAACAAATCATGCCAAGCCAACCTAATTTCCTTCTTTGCCTGTGTTTCTGGCATAGTGGATTGGGGGAGGGGGGAAGCGGAGAGAGCGTAGACATGATTACCTTGATTTTAGTAAGGCTTTTGACACAGTCCAACATACCATTCTCATAATCAAAGTAGGGAAATGAGGTCTAGATGAAATTATTATAAGATGGGTGCACAAGTGGTTGAAAGACTATAGTAGTTGAGTGGTTCATTGTCAACCTGGGACAGCATATCTAGTAGGGTCCCACAGTGGTCACGCCTGGGTTCAGTATTATTAAATATTTTCATTAATGAGTTGAATAATGGAGTGGCGAGCATGCATATAAAATCTGCAGAGGACACCAAGACAGGTGGAGTTGCAATTACTTTGGAGACAGGATTAGACTTCAAAATGAGCTTGACAAATGGGAGAATTCATCTGAAATCAACAAGATGAAATTCAATAAAGACAAATGTAAAATACTTCACTTGGGAAGGAAAAATCAGAGGCACAACTACAAAATGGGGAATGACTGGCCAGATGATAGTGGTACAGCTGAAAAGGATCTGTGGGTTACAGTGGATCACAAACTGAATATGAATCAATAATGTGATGCAGTTCCAAAAAAACTAATATTCTGGGGTGCACTAACTGGAGCATCCAGTTAAGATGTAAGATACGGAGGTAATCGTCCCACTGTATTCAGAACTGGGGAGGCCTCAACTGAAGTACTGTGTCCACTTCTAGGAGTCACACTTTAGGAAAAATGTGAACAAATGGAAGAGCCCAGAGGAGAGCAACAAAATGATAAAAGGTTTAGAAAACCTCACCTATGAGGAAAGGTTAAAAAAACTGGGCATGTTTAGTTTCAAGAAAAGATTACTAAGGAGGGACCTGATGATAGTCTTCAAATATGTTAAGGCCTGTTATAAAAGGGACAGTGATCAATTGTTCTCCATGTCCACTGCAGGTAGGACAAAAGTAATGGGCTTAATCTGCAGCAAGATAAATTTAGGTTAGATATTAAGAAAAACTTTCTAACAATGGGATAGTTAAGAATAGGATGGACAATCACCTGTGAGAGATGGTTTAGATTTATTTGGTGCTGCCACAGTACAGGGGCTGGACTTGATGACTTCTCAAGGTCTTTTCCAGTCCTACATTTCTATGAAACATCGACTAAATCACCCTGATGATCAAGTAAATCACTTCCCATCCAATCCCTACAAGTGAACTTTACAAATAAGGGGCTAACACATCAGCACTGACTGGGGTTTTAGGAAAGCAAGATGTGAACCATATCCTAGCTGCATGGTCATGCCAAGTGGGGATAATACAAACTCCATTTTAGTGCTTTACATTTATTCCAGGCTGGATTGATTTAAATCACCAAGTGGAAAATCTCAATTTAAATTATCAATTTTAATCAAACTTTTCCATTTGTAGTTCAGTTATTTTCTAAAGAAAGGTGCATTCTCATTGGCTTATATAACCATTAAAACATGTTGATTTACAACTAAATAGATGTATTGTGTCTGATGAAGTGGGCATTCACCCACGAAAGCTTATGCTCCAATACTTCTGTTAGTCTTAAAGGTGCCACAGGACCCTCTGTTGCTTTTTACAGATTCAGACTTACACGGCTACCCCTCTGTAACTAAATAGAGCCTTTACACTAGATTTGTTACATCTTTCTGCTACCTAGGAGGGTACACCATAACTATATGCATATATTTAAGCAATTATATAGCTTAATATTTTCAGATTCTTATTAATTTTACATTTTTAGTATGTTAGAAAATGAAGAATGATGGGAAGAATCATAATTTGAGCACATTCAATAAGCTCTCGGGTAGAGAGAAGCATTACAACACAAGTATGAGACCCCTGAGGTGCGCTCAGTGGATGATCCTGATGAGATGTGTGATGGTGTCTGCTAAAGTCAGAGGCTACAGTAATACAAATAATAAATAATAATGACTGCAGTGTGCAATCACACACATCTGACACTAGTCTTCAGACCTAATCTCAACCCCTGGGAGCCAAGATTGCTCCAGACTAACACACACTCATAACTACTCCCATGGCTGAGCTATTGTGCTTGCCAAATAAATCTTATAACCCTGAGAGTCTGGTGGGTAACACAAGTCTTCACTGCATGTCCACTCACTGTTGTCGAGGGTGATGAGGAAGATCCTCTGGATCATGTGATTGATGTTGAGCTGTTCACACAGCTCCTGCTGGGAGCGGAAGGAGCGGCTGATCTCAGCCACAGAGTAGTCGCAGTCATCCAGACTCTCTGATACACTGTTATCCGAGTCATCTTGGCTGGCTGAGGTTTCATCTGCTGGAAAACAGAAGATAGTAAATAAACATGTCTCTGGCCCAGGAAGAAATTAACACTGCAGCATGAAGGGTAAGCAGTGTGTCTCTGGGAACAAAAAGGGCTGAATTAACCCAAGGGAGCACTATCAGTGACATGCACAGGTCCTGCCCATCTTTGTGCCGCCACTGATTTCAAACACCTACGCTTAGGTTTCTACATGTAAAACCATGAATTATTCATTATCTGGAAGCACAGCAGTAAGCACACTATGGCTACAGTGCAGTTCTGCTGAAGGTAGTGATGATGTAGGCTGTGATGTACACCATTTTGTAACACCCTGTTCAGACCAGGGTTGGACAACAAGTTGATAAAGAACCCTGTGTCCTATCTACACACTATATTCACCGATTGCCAGCATCACTGGCACTGCCATGGAGAAGCGTTACAGGCCCATACACTGTCTGCACGCCACGCTGAAGTATTAAGGAAGCAATGGCATTTTGTTTTGTAGAATACAAAGTGCCATTTAAAAACATTTATCTCTGAAAAGACTGTCTGAACACAGGCACCCGTCAAACAGTGCAAGTCTTAGAACAAGAAATTTAAACCTTTCACGTCAGATAAATTGCTACTGAAAAGCAAAGTAGACCTACTGTCAGAACAAAATAAAACAGAGCACTACACTCTGTGGGTAAGAAACAAGTCACCCTGCCCATTCAGATTGGTTGGTGAACGGCCAAGGAGACATCCACACCCTTTCCCAAGCATTCTTGCTACTTCTACAACTTGCCTTCTGCAATGGTGCATGGCCCAGTTCCCATTCTCCCTCCTTGTCTCCCAGAAGACTCCCATACGGATGTTGTAAGACAAGAGTATTGCTTTAAATAATAATATTTAGCCCTTATACATTAATGTCCATCTTTAGAACATTAATTCGTAAGGACTTCCTGTGACATAGCTGATCTAATTATTCCCCAAATGGAGGCAGCAAGATTGATGCCAAGCACCCACAGCTCCCTGTGCTCAGCACCGGGAGGAGGGGGGGGGGGGGGAGAGAAATCAAGGCACAAGTGACCTGGTCAAAGCAAGAGTCAGTGTTCAGTCTGGGATCAGAACTCCCAGTCCTGAATTCAGATCAGACTTTCTCCCCCAAGATTTTCTAGTGGACTACAAACAAGTTGGCTCAACAATTTAGGGCCTGATCCAAAGCTCACTGAAGTCAACTGCAAGACTCCCAGTGAATTCAATGGGCTTTGGATCAGGCCTCAAGTGCACAAAGTAAGATGCTATATTGACACACAAATAATACTGTGGCCACCCGACAATTCTGACTCCTGGCTACAAGTGTCCAGGCCTGAAAAATATTTCTGTTTATGGATGGTCCCAAACCTGCCCAGGGTACTGAATCTGAATAGTTAACACAGACCAGAGTATGATAACCTTATAGATATGTTGTTAGGGAAGACCCTCTGCAACCGGAGCTGCATTGTTTGGTCTCCCTTCTCCTCTTACCAGTGAGCTGCCTCAGCTGCTGTTTTTGGATCGCTGCAAACTGCTTGGCATCAGCTAGGGAGCTGAAGAGGGCTGCAAAAGGGTTACTTGAGATGCTGTTGTTATTCTCTTGGTCTGTCATTTCACTTTAAAGTGTGCTCCATCCAGACATGGGGAGAGGGGCTGAAGAAAGAACAGGTATGACAATCACAAAGCAGTGGTTAACAGCAGCAACTACAATTCTTAAAGTTTAAAAATAAAACCAGAAGTGCCTTAGTGGGGAGGATTTTTTCAATTAGGAATCCAAGATTTAAGACAATTTAACTACACGTCTAAGAACCCACCATTAAAAATAGTATGCCTGCTTTCACATCTATTAAAATTGAAGGAGTACACAAGCGCTCTACCTTGATACATTTTTTCAATGTTTAATGATACCTTTTAACTCATTAAAATTAAGCATTGAACTGAAACTGAAAAGAGCAAGGGAATTCAGTTATGGATGCTTAGCTGTACCGAACAAAATTCATTTCTTGTTAAGGTATCTTAGTACCTATTACAGTAAGTGATCTTACATGGAAACAGTGTTGCAGTACTGCAGACAAAGGCCATGCCTACACGAGCATTAATTGGGAAACCACATCCATGATGGGAACACTAATGGAGTCAGGACACAGATGTTTTTACAGCAACGTTTTCTAGACCTGCTATCACTGGTAACAGAGTAGCAGCCGTGTTAATCTGTATCCGTAAAAAGAACAGGAGTACTTGTGGCACCTTAGAGACTAACAAATTTATTAGAGCATAAGCTTTCGTGGACTACAGCCCACATCTTCGGATGCATACAGAGTGGAATAAATATTGAGGAGATATATATACACACATACAGAGAGCTCTCTCTGTATATATATATATATATATATGTGTGTATATATATCTCCTCAATATTTATTCCACTCTGTATGCATCCGAAGAAGTGGGCTGTAGTCCACGAAAGCTTATGCTCTAATAAATTTGTTAGTCTCTAAGGTGCCACAAGTACTCCTGTTTTTATCACTGGTAAGAATGCTGGGATCTGGTCTATGCTAGCACTCCTACCATTTCAGCACTACGGGAGCTGGCAGGAATACCCAAAGAGGACAGCTAATGGTGGAAAGGAAGCCCAGTCCATTTGTTGATCCTTACTATTTCTTCTAAAAGTTATTAATTCTTCATCAGAGCATTAAAATAATCAGATGCAACATTCGGCAGACCACTCCACCTATCCTTCCCTACAGAAATACAGGCAGTATAGAAAGCAAAATAGCTTAACTTTTAGCCTAGAGTTTTGCTGGTTTGCCATGGAATAACTTCCTAATTTGTAACACATGCAAGCCAAGGAACTAGCCCTGGTTGTTCCTACACTGGACTACAACATCCCTGTCAGACTGAAAGAGCAATTTATATTTATCCCCTTCTAGACATTTCAAGAGACCATGAATCGCAGCTTGTGGAATACTGCTGTACACAAGTCAATCTAGCGCAAAGCCAAAGGACAAACTTACTCAGCCTGTTTACACAGCTGATACCTGCAGAAAAATTCAAGGACTCACAAAGTCACAATAGCACTAAGTGCGTTTCTTCTTTCCCCTCAATGGAGACAGAGTTCTGCATCAAATCACATTATTCAAGCTAGTGAAAAAAATTGAGCATTTAGGTTTATATGTATGACAGTTGCTGCTAATGTTTTATTTGTTATATAGTGAAATGTCATTCAAATGACTGCTCTAACAGATAACAAACCTCACCCACCTTGTTGCTCTAACAGCTCTAATTCAAGCCAAAAGGTAGCTCCTGTGCCACAACTTGCAGATGGAGCAAATCCAAGAAAACCCCAGAAGCACAATATTGTATAGAAGTGACTCCCAACATTCTTCTGGTGAAAAACCCCTTGAAAGAAATTGGAATGCCCTCCCCATGTCTCCTCATGCCATGCATCATAGGCAGCTGCATCTTCCTTCTGACCATTCTCCCTCTCCTGCCCATATCTACCTCAGCACTCTGTCCTTTTCCTCTTTGCTTTCTAATTATTGGGCTTTCTTGTTTTTGTTAAAACAACAAGGAGTCTGGTGGCACCTTAAAGACTAACAGATGTATTTGGGGATAAGCTTTCGTGGGTAAAAACCTCACTTCTTCAGATGCATAGAGTGAAAGTTACAGATGCAGGCATTAGATACTGACACATGTTTTTTGTCCCATCAGGCACTGGGATCTCAACCCAGAATTCCAATGGGCGCAGGAGACTGCAGGAACTATGGGATAGCTATGGGATAGCTACCCACAGTGCAACGTTCCAGAAATCGACGCTAGCCCCAGTACATGGATGCACACCGCCGAATTAATGTGCTTAGTGTGGCCGCATACATTCGACTTTATACAATCTGTTTCCCAAATTCGAATTATATAAATTCGGATTAATCCCATAGTGTAGACATGGAGAGCAGGGAGTTACTTCGCAAGTGGAGAACCAGTGTGGACAGGGCCAATTCAATCAGGGTGGATGTAGTCCACTCCCAATAATAGATGAGCAGGTGTCAATTCCAGGAGAGGAAAAGCTGCTTATGTAATGAGCCATCCACTCCCAGTCCCTATTCAAGCCCAGATGAATGGTGTTAAATTTGCAAATGAATTTTAGTTCTGCTGTTTCTCTTTAAGTCTGTTTCTGAAGTTTTGTTGTTCAATGATACAGATTTAAAAGTCACGATCATTGAACAAAAACACTTCGTCCTCCAACCCCAGTGTCTGACCCTTGGAGATTTAGGGTCACTCACACCATCGGGTGCACCCGGACCTGCGAGCTAATGGCCACCGATGGAGCTGTTAACCCCGCTATACTCCGGGCCCGGGGCAGCCCGGGGCAGGCAGTGCGGGGCCGGACAGGGAACCTGAGCCCAGCGCCGCGCGGCTGCCGGCGGGGAGGGGAACCGAGGCCCGGCCCGGCCCGGCCCGGCCTGGCAGCCCCTCCCGAGCCGCACAGCGGGGGCGCGGGGCTCCGCGGCTGGTCCCAGGCCCGCCCGGCCACTCGCCCGCCCCACGCAGGCCCGGGGCTCGCCCCGCCCCCAGGCCCGCTCCCGCTCCGCCCCCCAGGCCCGCTCCCGCTCCCGCTCCCCACGGGCCGCCCGCCAGAGGGGGGAGGGGCGGAGCTGCCGCGTCTTACCGGGGCCCGGACGCTTCCCCTTCTCGCTCAGCCTCAGGCTGGCAACCGCGGACGTCACCGCCCCGCGCCGCGCGTCACCTCCCCGCGCCGGAAGCGCCTGGAGGCCGGGAGCACGTGGGCAGGCGCCACGTGTTGGGCGGAGGGGGACCAGGCGCTCGTTTCTCCCACACCCCGCCCGTAACGGGGCTGGCTCCCCGCGCGCCCCGGCTCCGGCTGACGGGGCTCGGCTGCCGCCTCTGCGTGCGGGCGGGGGCAGGGTCCCTCCCGAAGGCTCCCGGGGCAGGCGAAGCAGCGCGTGGCGCTCAGTCCCGGGGCTGGCGGTACTTCCCCGGGGGACACCCTCGTAGCACGCTCACGGCGACAACGCCCATAGGTGGGCGCCAAAGCTGTCACAGGCCTTTGCCACGCCAGGCTGAACGCAGTGCAGGGCCAGGCTCCTGGGCACGCCGTGAGCCCTGAGACTGCACAATCCTCCAGGGCTTGAGCTGCATTTAACATCTCGGCTTAGCTACCAGAGTGGGGTGTGGAAAAACACACCCCTGAGCGACACAGGCGTGCTGGCAAAACCCGCCTGTCCACACAGCTACATCAAGGAGAGCATAGCAAATGTTGTTGGGGGAGGTGACGTTCCGACAACGACAGAAAAATTCCTAAAGAAGAGCTCTGTGTATCTCGAAAGCTTGTATCTCTCACCAACAGAAGTTGGTCTAATAAAAAGTATTGGGCTTAGGGTGACCAGATGTCCTGATTGTATAGGGACAGTCCTGATATTTGAGGCTTTTTCTTATATAAAAGCCTATTACCCCCACCCCCGTCCCGATTTTTTGCACCTGCTGTCTGGTTACCCTACTTGGGCTACACTTAAATGTTTGGTTGAACTAGCTACACTGTTTAAGGATGTGGAAAAACACTCCCCTGATTGACATAGTTTGTCAACCTAACTTCTAGCATAGATGCAGCTGTGTTGGTGGAAGAGTGCTGCTGCTGTGGGGGGCACTGCCTTCAGAGCTGAGCGACCGGGACAACTGTCGCTGCTCTCTGACGCCCAGCTCTGAAGGCACACACAAGTGAGGCTGGCAATACCGTGACACCCCCCACCCCCAAATAACCTTGTTGATCCTCCTACAACTCCCTTTGGGGTCAGGACCCCCAATTTGAGAAACGCTGGTCTCCCCTGTGAAATCTGTATAGTATGGGGTAAAAGCACACAAAAGACCAGATTACTCGGTCCATGACACGTTTTTCATGGCTGTGAATTTGGTAGGCCCTATTTATAAATCACTTTTCATCCAAAGGGCTTTGTGTCATTACAGTGTGGCAAGGGGTTGTTAATAATCTCAGGTGGTAAAGTCCTTATCACTTAGGGCTAGATTTTTAAAGGTATTTAGGCAGCCATTGGAAATTAGGTGCTTAGGCACTTTTGAAAATCCCACTAGGTCCCTAGCTACATCTTTAGGTGCCTAAATACCTTTGAAAATCTGGTCCTTCGTTTTTACATTTCACCCAAATTAAGAAACTCAGCCCAGCATCCCCTAGTACTATGCTGGATCAGTGGGTTCTCTATTAACTCAGGGACCACATACAGAGCTAATCACAAATCCAATTTTCTATAGTGCATGGGTTTTCCTTTAACAGACTTGCTTCCAGGGCCGGCTCCAGGCACCAGGCAACCAAGCACATGCTT